AGAGTATTCTTTATGGGCGTCAACTATTGGTGATGGGAATGCGATGGCATATTGGTGATTGTAAGGGGCGTCTCTGCTTTATTCCAATTGGATTCCTCGCTTACACCCCAACCCTCTGATGTATAACCCCCGGGTACTGCCTGAGGGTGGAGACCTGTCGGTAGCAGAGGTTATTTGCCAAGGGGAGGGTCGACGCTGGTGTGACCAAAAACTTAGCCAGTGGTTTGACCCGACCATCAAATCGATTTCTATATCTCGTATAGGGGGGTCAAATAGATTGATCTGGCATGGCAGGTTGACAGGATTTTTACGGTTAAATCGGCCTATCATTTTGTTGTCTTGTTAGATAAGCACGATGGTCGATGGAGATCTATGGCTAGTTGGATGGATAGACCCAGCTGGATCCGATTGTGGACATCAAATAATTCACCAAAATTGAAAGTTTTTCTTTGGCAAATTTTCAACCGTGTCTTGCCGACTACGGAGGCCCTAATCGAGAAATATGTCAAGGTGCTTCCCCGGTGTCCGGTTTGTTGGGAAGATTTGGAGAAAATGGAACATTTGTTTCTTGATTATCTAGTGGCTAGGGCTCTATGGGATCATTCGGGGCTCGAATATCTAGGTCAAGGACTGCCTCGTCACACTTTCCCTCTCTTTCTAAAGAAATTGATGTTACTCATTAGTCAACCTCAATTATTCATGTCAGTAGTCACGAAACTAGGTTGTTTTTTAAGGCAAACAGTTTGGTATCCCCGCTCTAATGCGTCAATTCCACTAACAATGTCAGGAATGGATTAGTTTGCCAGTTGATCCTGGTCTACAAATATCCAACCCTCCTTCTCCGCCTCTCGATGCTACTCCTCCCAATGTAGTAGTCTGTATGTGGGATGGAGCGACTAAATGTGCTCTCATTCTGCTGGTGGGATGATTAATCTGAATCAAGATGGGGATGTCCTTTTGGTTGAAGGGATACAATTTCCGGTGTTTGATGATCCTATGGTTGTGGAGCTGCTTGTTCTTTGGGAGGCTATTCTGTGGTGTCTAAGTCAGGGATTTACGGAGACAAGGTTTGAAGGCGATACCAAGGTCATCATTGATAAGATTAATAGGGCTGATACCCGGGATAACCGGATGGGGGCAGTTCTTGAGGAGGTTGTGCATTGTTTCGCAAGTCATGGTGGTCTTAGTGTGCGATTTGTAGGTCGTCGTAACAATAGGGTAGCCCATTTGGTGGCTAGGAAGGCCCTTTCTTTGTACCCGACTGCAAGTCGCTTATTTGATTTCCATGCCTGGCTTAATTCCAGGATGTAATTGTCTATTCTTCTAATCAATATATATATGATTATCTTTTGTCAAAAAAAGTCTTAATCATCGATGCTGAATAGTCTCAGACTGAATCTGTGATCTTTAGCCTTCAAAATCCACGAAAAATGGCCTTTCGGAAAAAGGGCCCTAAAATTCCAAAATCTACAAGAACTGCGCTTAATAGACTTCATCATCGGTGGAGAATAGTCTCAAGACGAATCTGTGATCATAGCTTTCAAAATCCAAGGAAAATGGTATTTCTCAAAAATGCCTGAAATCTATGATGGTACTCCTTTGGAATCAGCTAAAAGTGGACCCGGAAAAAATTCGCCCAAATCGGTGCTTAATAAACTTAATCATTAGTGCAAAATACCCTGAGGACGAATCCGTGATATTTAGCCTTTAAAATCCAAAAAATAACTTTTCAAAAAAAAATGCACAAAAAATTACGATAATACCCTCTGAAAAAATTCATAAAAATCGACGCTTAATAGATTTTATTTTTTGTGGAGAATAGCCTCAGGCCGAAATCGCAATCATTACCTTCAAAATCCCGGGAAAATGGTCTTCCAGAAAAAAAATCTCATAAATTTTGTTATGATACCCCTTTGAAATCTGCCAAAAATAAACCAAAAAAAAAATCCGCCCAAATCGGTGCTTAATATACCTAATCATTAATACAGAATAGCCTCCCGTTCTTCTCCGTTTTCAAAATTAGGAAATTGAAAGTTCTTTTTTTTTTATCTAGTTGGCTATTATCCGAGTAAAATTTGAGTGATTAATTAGATAACACGTAGATGTCAACTCTACTATCCTAAACGGAAACCTGATTGGAGCCAAATTAAATAAATTGTTTCGATAAAGATGAATTTAGAGAATCAACTTAAGTATGTTCTTAGTTTGTTATTTTCTTCCTCGACTATCTGTATTTATCTCATACCCCTCTGACTCCCATCCTGCAATAACTACTGTCGTGCTTCCTATTCGAAATTTTGAAGACTTATATTATCTTCATAACACTGAATACACCCTACAATATGTCAAACTCGATTGAAGTTTGACTGCAAATCGAAGAAATGTGGCCTCCTAGAATAATCGAGAGTAAAAAAAAACCTTCGGAGTACCTGACAAATAATCCTTCATTGTGGTCCGAGATACATGATACATTTCGCGTCCCTGACATCTTAGCCGGAAAAGATTGCTCAAATCAATTTCGCCCACACCCCTACTTGTATTTGAGGTTCCTGCCAATGCCACAACAAGCGAACTTTCAACCTTTAGCAACTTTCTCTCACTCTTTTTCTGGCATATTTTCATGAAACCGTATCGAAAACCGTACCAAAAAAAATCAGCGGTATAATATCTTGTGGAAAAATCGTAGTTTAACTATTATTTAACCGTTAAATACCGTCTAATAATTTATCCTCCAATATTAACATCTGGTGGTTGAACGCCCGGTACGGTAGGATTTGAGAAATCATGTTTTCCCCATAACAGAAACAAAACGGTAATCTTTATTTAGCGCCTGCAATTTAGCATCAGAAAACTTTGTTAGTAGAGGTCAAATATCTAATCTGCCACCCAAATAGCATCTCTCCCTCGTGCGCTGATTTTTTCTAATTCTGCACTCTCTCTACTGCTGATTTTAATCAATATATGCCCATTTCTGTGCACGTGATTCGAAAGTTTTGCTTCCTGCCATCACTTGTCTGTTGACACTGTCAATACACCGAGAAAAATAATCCCACCTTTTTAGTTGATTAATTTATAGTCTTACGGGTGGTAAGTAGTGATTAGTTAGTTGCTTAGTTTGATCCTTTCAAAATTAGTAATGGTTGAATGAAGATGTGACCGGTAACAATTATTAACAAACAAACAAGTCAAGCCGGGATAAGGGGACCGGGGATTAGAGATTACGAAAAAGCGAGTGATTGTTACTTGCTTCCCGGTGCCGTTGTAGTCAAACAAGAATTTACTGTCCAAGTTAGGGCTGAAAGTTTGGTTTTCGGATTACGGATAACTCACAAAGCTCACTATAGTCACATTGTGGGGTAAGCATACTTATAATTTGTGGATAGTAATGTGGTTAGGAGAATTATATTTTTTTTTATTAGTGGTTCAGTTACAAAACTCACTATAGTCACATTAGACTAATAACCTTTTGATTTATCTTTAAGTTCACAACACCTATTAATAAGGAGGAATGACCAATTTTGTAAAATTCTAAAATAATTCACTGCTAAACGTGAGATTAATTTGCATTTTGTAAAGCAAAAACTTTCTATCTCTCTCATCTCTTCGGCCCAAAAGTTAGAATACCAAACTCGAAAAGAAAAATGGCTCACATTGAGTAAGATATGCAATAATTGCATCTCTATGAGCAAACACAAAAGTACATCACTATAGTTTAGTAGAAAATAGCGGATTCGTTCGTGTCGATTTCAGCTCCACACCTTTAAGGATGAAGTTTTGCGGGTAGACACAACCAAAACACAATGGCTATGGTAGTGATCAACCACCAACCAATGCAGTGTAATTAGAATGATCACAACTTTATGGTTGTGCTTAACCACAAACACTCGCACCAATTAGACACCCCCAATCTCGGTTACTCTATCGAATGTCATATAATAAGAAAATAGAATCGATGTTTCTCGTCGACTGCCAACCCGCCTGCCTAGTGCATAAACAACTAATTGATTATGATGAAATCTGAAGAACGGCGTTATAGACAAATAACCCAAATAGATAATTCACTTGGGAATTCAAGCATTTGAAATTCAAGCATTTCAGAGAAGTGGTAAGGAATTGAAAGTGATGGACAAATACGTGAAAGGCACAAGAAGAGAGTAGGGATGGCAATGGGTCGGGTCGGGGACGGATAGTGTATATCCGTTACCCTATCCAAAGTAGTTCGGGTTTTACCCATACCCATACCCACATGTGAAACGGGTAGAAAATTAAAACCATGCCCATACCCGTTCGGGTTTCGGGTATCCACGGTTATCCATGGATAATAATTTCTCTTCATAACTCCAACCAATATGTTAACATTCACACGTGTTCTCACATTACGTAAAAGAAAAAGTACGACAATAGTTCACTAGAATGAAGAAAATTAACTAAAACAACACAATTTCATGAAAATATTATATTTATATGCTAAATATAAAATATGTTAGAGGAAAATAATAATTATTTCTAGACAAAATACATATGCATGCGTATAGTCGGGCGGGTTCGGGTTGGATAGTTAGAAACCCATGCCCACCCATTATCCGCAATATTCGGGTTCGGGTTTTACCCGTACCCACTAAATGTCCTTCGGGTTCGGATTTTACCCTACCCGATTAGGCCGGATTCGGGCGGATATCCACAGTTACGGATATTTTTGCCATCCCTAGAAGAGAGAGCATTCAGAGAGTGACCGAAACGCAGAAAAACCATGTTTTTACAATACACCTATCTCGCAGGACAAAGAGAGAGAGATGTCTTCAATTTATTGCGGAAATGGGCTTCGCCACTCTACCAAAACGTACGTCGCCAGTACTACTTTACTACCACTGGCCCAGCAGCAGCGATATTGCTTAGCTGCGAATCTCGAAACATGGCTTCTTTGCTGCCACCATTCCTGTACAGTACACACGCAAAATGAAACACCCAACAACACCCCCAAAATCTCACCTACATGACTTCAATACACACATCCTCCACCTGAGACAACCATTAATGGACAGCACAATCAACAATGGTAGTAAAAGCTTCAGCACTGACTGTATCCATCCAAATATATGAAGAATGGCAGAAAGAACAACCCAGTTAGCACAATCTGATAACAGTTCCATTTCAGTACAAAACTTGAAAGAAAAATGAGAGATGGGTTTTGAGCATTTCTCGAATAAAACCTTCACCAGAGTTTACAGCAACCATTACTCTGGTGAGGAAGACTTTAAAAGACTGGAATACACCCATTTGGGACGGCTTTTACAGCACCAGCAAAACCCTCAAGGATCAATTCCCCCATCTCCTCAACCAGACAAAACTAGACAGTAATTAAAACAAAACTCACTCCGCCAAAACCATTCTCAGAAAAGAACACCACAATGCTTGCTTTGCTCATCAAGCAGTGTTCTTGAGATCCTCACTCTGCCTAGTACAGAACTCTTCCATCTTTTTTTTGTCTTTCAACGAATACATAAATAATAATTGGATTTGACATACCAAAATTAAACCGAACATGTAAAACTCACTAGCTGCAAAACTTATAGGCATGCGATATTGAGGGGTTGTTGTTGCTGTTGTTGTTGCTGCTGCTGTTGATGATCATCCAGGTAAGCGAACTCCTCGCTGTCGAACTCAAAATCATAATCGGGAAGCTCAGTTGGTAGCATTTCTCCTCCTTCAAAGTCAAACCCGAGGAAGTCAAGCTCATCCCCAATACCACAGTAATCATCATACATCCTGCCAAACTCATCGATCAGGCTGGTGAAATCAACACCCAAGTCGAGATCTTGATCGACCACTGGACAAGCAGACCCCAACGCCTCGTCAATGAAGCTCAAATCAGGTATCTCCAGGTCTTCAACAGTAAGAGCAGCAGCCTGTAAACCTTCTTCCTCGACAATGTCAAAGCACTCTTCCTTGCTAAAATCACAGTTCAGCGCTGACACTGCACAGTTGTCCACCTCGAGAACAGATGCTGGTGAAGTATGGGAGGAGACAAGGCTCTCGGAGTCATTGCCGTTGGTAGAGCAACAAGGTGGATGGCTCTTGCTGGTAGAGGGCGAGACAGCAGTACCAGCAGCAGAGGAAGACTGAGGCACCATGTTGTTGACGCTTTTCTGCTGGTCTTCCGAAGGGAAAGAGGCATCGTACTCTCGCTTCTTGTCCTCATAAGCCTGAGCAGCCTCTTCAAGAGAGGCGAAAGTACCGAGCCATACCCTGGATCTGGTGTGGGGGTTCCTTATCTCAGCAGCCCATTTCCCCCATTTCCTCAGCCTAACACCAACAGGCTTCTTGGGTCCTTTGGAGGAAGATGGAGTGGTGGCCAATACATTTCTCCTCCTGATGGGGTTTTTGCCACTGTCATCGTTGCTGTTGCTGTCTTCAGAGGAGGATTCCTGCAGCTGCTGCTCAACAGTGCTCTGTGAGAGGGATAAACCACTCGGAGGGACACAAAACTCACGGACGAAACACTTGGATTTTTTCTTCGGAGCTGGAACAGGGCACCCGAATTCATCATCGCTGGAATCGGTATCAGTAGCATATGGATCTTGATATATGACCCGGACTTTCCTTACCCTTGACTCCGTCGAGTCTTGAGAAGGTGAGGAGGAGTTGGCAATGACTCTCCGCAAGGGCTCCGGCGAGCTCATCGGCTGTTGTTCTACCAGCTCCGGCATGGTAAATCTCAGAATCACTCGCCAAAACCCCTCAATAAACCCAGAAAAGAATTCGATCTCCCAAACCGAATCAGAGGAGTAAAAATCTCAGGGTAAGACGCAGTAGATAGTAATTAGAGAAAAGAGAGAGAGAAAGAAGGGTTTAAGGGTTGACGGAGAAGAAGAACAAGAGGGGTAATCAAGTGAGACCCCCTCTCAAGAACAAGAATAAGTGAGAAAATCGATTTATGTGAAAACCCCCAAAGCACTCCACAATACCAGAAGAAGTCCTGCAAAAAAAAAAACAAAGGAAAAGTCCGCCGGTCAGGCATTCCATCGAACAACCTCATCTTTAACGCTAAACCCATTACAGATTTCCACACAGAACAGTACAGAGAAAGAGACGGAGTGAAAAGCATACCGTTTTGGCCTCAAACGCATCGAATCAACCGAGGACCTCGGCGCCGTTCTCTGCTGGGGACAGCAGAGTTGTATGAAGCGGGGACGGCAGCAGCGGCTAGGACCGGCAACGGCGGAGGAAAGTGAGCTGACGACGACGGAAACAATCACTTTTGCAGAAGCAGAAATCGAAATACAAGAGAGCTTCAGCGGAGCCCCAATCACAGCCAAATTAAACCCAGCCGACATAAATCCCACGGCTCCTGAACAACGGAGAGCTGTCTTCCTGCTCTGTCTTCCTCCTCGTTTCCCTTCAAAGAGAGGAAAGACCCAAAACGATAAGCCTAACAAGATAGATAGGTGTGAAGCGCAGAAGGCGAGAGAGCAGAGGAAGGAGAGAGAGCAAGCAGAGAGGCCAGAAGGGGCGTTACTAAACCCCCAAAAACCCTATTTATAAAAAACAAAGGATCACAAATCTATGGCCGAGATTTTTTCTCCCTCCCCTCTACCCTTCTTCCCCAGAGACAAACCCGATCTGTAAAAACCAAAGAATCAAAAGGTGGAGACTAGAGAGAGAGAGAGAGAGAGAGAGAAATGGCCGGTCTTTGTTAGTATATTTTTTTTACACTGCAACAGTGAAATTTCAACAATGAACTTTCGCCTTTCCCCAAAACCCCACACCACCCACTGACCAGAAGACGCAAATCTCTATAGAAACATCATAGAAATTATCAAATTGGAAAGAAAACAAACGAACAAACAACAAACACTCCACACAATAAACAAATTATCAGTCATATTTTAAAAACACAAAATTTTCCCGAGAAAGGAAAAATTAAAAGAGCAGACGTTTTCTTACTGAGAAATGGGTACCTCTTTTCTTCTTCCTCCTGTCGCTGTCCTTCTCTCTCTCTCTTCTGCTCTGTGTTTCTTTCTTTCTTGCTCACTCTGTTCCTCTCTCTCTCTCGCTCTGTGTCAGTCGCTCTTTATTTATTCTAAGCGATCTACAAGGCCATTCACCTGCCGAGCCTTTCGGTCAAAATTTTCTGGGTTAAAAAGGGAAAGACAGAAAGAAAAAGGAAGATAGAGAGGCGGTTCACCCAATAAGCATTAACTCGGTGGAAATTTTATTAATTAGTTTTTACCTAATTTTCACATAAATTACTGGAAAAAAATAATCTGTCCGTTATTTTTCCGCTGGAAAATTCCTTTTCTAGCTTTGTAACTGAACCGATTAAAAAATGGAACAGCTAGGGGATGATGATATTGATAACGATTAAGGTTTCAATGTAAACATTTATCATCTAAAAATGAAAACAAAATATATGTTTTTGTAAAAAAGATTTTTTTTCGCTATAAATAAATTGGGAGATTTCACTCGGGGGAGGGAAAGAAAAAGGAAAGAGGAACTGGTGATGAGCTGGCAATGGGATGGCTTCTATCATGCCGTTTCGCATCCATATGGTCATGCATGGTTGGACCATGATCCCCATTGGGCCATGTCACCATGGCTGCTTCTCACCACTAACTCATGCATAATGGGCCGGGCCGGCGGCTCGCTATTCCCATTGCTTGGTAACAACGTTTGTGGCCCACCACCAACTAATCCTAGTTCACGCCTTGACGTGCCTTCCTGCGCGTCGTTCTCACGGCAGCCTGGCCGGGTGGTTGTTGTTTCGACATTTTCAAGGGACGCGTGGAGGAAGGTTTTCAGTTGTCAGACCATTTTTATGACGCTGCGCCGCGAGTAGGTTGGTGTTTCTTTTTTTCTTGCCTCTCTTTTGACTTTTTTTTCAGTTTTTTATTTTATTTCTTCATATGTTGTTTATTTTCGGGTCGGGTTCTTGATTTATTTACATTGCTGCCACTGAAGTGTCTTCTTCCCGAATTAACCTTCCCGTGACGTGGGCTCTATCCTCCCGGTGCCAGACCGACTCTGCGAAAGAGGACAAAAAAAGCGGAAGAAAATAGTAAAAAGGGGGCAAAATGAAATAATTAGAATTTCCTCTTTTTTCTGAGATTCGTTGGCAATCGCACAAGAAAGAAAAAATGAATTTTGATTCGTCGAAGAAGAGCAAATCGCGGCCAGTACGGAATTTTTATTCTGTTTCCCAAATTCTTTTCACCGTCAATCGTCATCCCCTAGTTTGATTTTTTCTCTCGAACAAAATATGTGGTAGAACCTTGAATTTAGAAAACGTTGTTATTCAAATCCATAAAAAAATAAATTTGATTTTGTTTAACTGAAACCCTTAAATTAGCATACATACCTCTAATTGGGTATGGATGCCAATTTCCCCCCAACCTACGCATACTTTAATTTCCCTTACATCAAACGATAACTATAATTTCTAAATTTGTACAAAACTTACATATAATTTTACATATATTTCAACGTTGAAGAGACTACTTCTTTACAAAAGTGATGCTACCAAAAGGAAAAATGTTGTCTCTAACAATCGAACATACAACTAGGGGTGGAAATCGGTACGGTATCGGTATCCCAATACCAAATACCGAAATCCCGAATACCGAATTACACCCTGAAATCAATCCCAATCCCAATCCCTAAATAATTTCGGTATCCCAATCCCAATCCCTAAATATTTCGGTATCCCAATCGGTACCTCGGTATCCCAATCGGTATTATCAAATACAAAATTAATTATCTTTGCTATTAATAATTAAATATATAAATTAGATTTTATTGTTTAATTTAGGGCAAAGAGACTAAACAAAGAGTTTTGAGTTGCCTAGAGCTAACATCTCAAGTTTTTATAATTAGTAATCTTTAATTTGATGAATTTGAGGTTGAGAGACGACTAATACTAGTGTGAAATAGTGATGTAATGGTCTATGTATAATTAAATGACACTATTGGTGGTTGAGGGTCGCATAATAGTGAATGAGAGAGTCTAGTTGAGAGGATAAAATACACATTAGCTTATATTTCGGTATTGATCGGTATTTCGGTATATACCGATCCCAATCCCGTAATCCCTAATACCGAATAACAATTGAAACTCAATCTCAATCCCAATCCCACAAAATAATTCGTGTATTCGATAATACCAAATATAGACAAATTCGGTACGGTATTCGGTATATACCAAATACCGGTACCAAACTTCCATACAACCTTACAATGCACCGATCCACCAACTAGACTGGGCCTCGTTAGCTGACATCCATTTTCTCGTTTACAAGCACCATCGTCTAGTTGGCAAGTTTTTTTTTTTTTTTTCTTCTTCCTCTTTCTTTGCACTTTTTGGAACTTCGATTACTTGCATGGAAACTGTAAGCAAAAGAGAGAAGAAATATCAAGGTCCCTAGAGAAAACAAAGAATAAAAAAAATGCTCCCCAAGAAATGCAGAAGCTCTTATCACGAAATCCACGTAACAAAGATGTTGGTACTTTAGGTGGCTGCCAGGGATTAAGGATTCAAAGAAAGACGTCCATTCTGGGAATGCAGAATGCTAGCTATCTTTACTCTGCCTTGGGGAGCAAGTAACATGAATCCGATGAGAGATAGGTGAGTTCAAAAATAAAAATGTGACGTTGCCTGCCAGAGTCGAGGCTGGAAAGCTTTTTCAGTGGTTGCATATTAAAATCATACCAGAACTTACCATGCGATAAACTCTGTCAACGAGAAAAGATCAATACACCGTACACCTAATTGGACACGTATGGAATATTTGGCTGCAGTGTTATTTTGTTTTGCCAGAATATACGTTTATATTCCTATTGTTTTCCGGCGAGGAAAAAGTTGTGTTTGAACTTGTTAGGACAATCATTAAGGCACTTGGGCCTCCGAGCCCATGACCACTAAAAAGGCCCAGTAAAGCAAACAAGCCCAAATCAGAGAAACAGGAGGCGGTCTCTGGGTCGCACCTAATAAGACCGCCTAACGTACAACGGAAACAAAGCAGGACGCCCGACAGAGGATATAGTCAACACTCTGACAACAAGGTACGGATACTGAGCAGGGTACGGATCTGACCAGGCATTTATGAGAAGTCAGAGGCGGTCGAGGACCGCCCGACACAGCGTCAGACCGCCCGACATAACGTAGCTTGTCCTCACTCCTAGACCTAACTAGTATAAATACCAAACAACGGATCACATTTATGGTAACTTCCATCTACCCATTCTCTCTCTATTTCACTCTATCTACTTCTCTCACTAACTTAGGCATCGGAGGAGGTCCCAGGGCTCCCCTGAGGACCTTTGTTGCAGGACTTCGAAGGTCGCCTCTCATCCTCCCAAGACCGCACGGAGTCAGTGAGCTTCACAAACCGCCCGGTACTTTCCAGGCTTAAACATTTTGGCGCCCACCGTGGGGCACTACTTCGTCACCGGGAAAAGATGGGAGACGACTTTGAAACTCCGCTCAAGGGTATGACCGAGAACAACACCCTCCGAGGTCTATCACCAAGAGTAGAAGATGAATTAGAACTTGAGGAGGTAGTCAAAAGCCAAGGCGCCCAAATTGCAAGCATGCAAGATAGCCTATCGCAAATCCTCCAGCTGCTGAAGACAAGAGAAGACCCGCCCGAGGGGTCGAAAGGAAGGACTCGAGAAGAAAAACTGAAGGCCGCCCTGATCCTCGACAGCCCTGCTCGGACAGAAGGCGGTGGACAAGGGGCGGACGAAGTCGATCTGGGTTTCCTTGAGGAGCACCTACGATCAACCTACGGGAAACACAAAAGTCCCAATGTCCTCCAAAACCCGCTCTCTAAGGAGCTGTTCAAAACCCCAGTGCCACCCAATTTCTCCTCTCTGGGGCTACCCTCGTACAACGGGACCTCAGATCCCGCCGACCACCTTTGCGCTTTCATGTTGAAGATGCAACTCATCAACGCCACAGACTCTGATTTGTGCCGCGCGTTTCCCGTCACCTTCAGCGGTCAATGCCGGACGTGGTATACTTCCCTCCCGGAAGGGGTAATAGAAAACTTCGAACAATTCGCAATGCTCTTCTCCACAAAGTTCGCGTCCCAACGGCGCCGCAAACTCACGGTCTCGGCACTCATGAATTGCAGACAGAAGAAAGAAGAACCGCTTGCGGAGTTCTACGATCGATGGAATGCGATCGCTTGCGAAATCGACGGGATCTCTTCGGTCGTAGCCGCCGGAAACCTCAGGATATCAACGACCAGCATCGAGCTCAAGAGAACGTTGATAAAAAAGGAGGCCATGTTAACGTCATGGTCGGACCTAGATCAATTGGTAAGAAGAGCCATCTTACTTGAAGAGGCTCTCGCCACTGACGACAGAAGCCATCAAGGGCGATCCCGAGGCGACCCACAAGAGCGGTCGGACGCTCGACGGGGAAGGCGGTCTCCCGAGCGGAAATCTTATCGAAACCGGTACACAGACCGTGACGGTAAAAGAGAAGTCTACTCCACCGAACGAGAAAGAGGAAGAGAAAGACGAAGGAGCGGGAGAAAACCGGAAGCATCCTCCGGTCAAGAGCCACAAGAAGGCAAGAAGTGGTGCGACTGGCATCAAATGACGACTCATGACACAACGGAGTGCCGGGAGTTCAAAGCCAGCTTGAAGTACTTAGCTCCTGGGGATCTGCGTAACCGCCTTGAAACACGACGAAGTCAGCGAGGCAGCTCTCAGGAGGGAAGGGAAGACTCCCTCAGTCCGGAGGCGGACAAACCAAGAAGAGCTCGTAAAGAGAGGTCCAGATCGCCCACAAGGAACAAGAACGCCTCGCCGCAGAGGCAGTCTCCCGCATATCGACCCCCAAGGGGAGATGACGATGGCATGGAGATCATTACGATCGCAGGAGGTAGGAAGCGGCCCAGAACGGAGGCAGACCGCCTAAGCCACTGCTTAAGCGTCCAACGCCAGGAACCGTCGGACGTCACCTTCCTACCTTCAGAGCTAGCCAAGGAGGAGAACTCAGAAGACCCCTTGGTCATCTCGTTCCGAACCGACAAGTTCAAAGTCACAAGAGCTCTCGTCGACAACGGGAGCTCCGCCGATATCCTCTTCTACTCAGCGCTCCGGGGCATGAAGAAGAGTATCCAAGACCTCAACCCCTCCAACACCAGCTTAGTAGGATTTTCGGGGACGAAGGTCCGTGTCCTTGGGTCAATCACACTCAAGGTCACCATAGGCGAAGGAGGGATCACCAAAACCAAGCAGGTGGAGTTCCATGTGGCGGATTGTCCTTCAGCCTACAATGCCATCCTAGGACGCGGTTTCCTGGCCTCATTCGAGGCGGTTGCTTCCACATGCCATCAAATGCTGAAATTCCCAAGTGGAGGACAGACAGGACGCGTCCGGGGCAACGTGAAAGAGGCAAAGGAGTGCTATCAGGCGACCATTGAACGCCTGGAAGTCGACCTCGTCGACGCTAGAGACGACGTTCCTCGACCTGAAGCCGTGGAAGGAGATATAGCGGTTCCACTAAATGAGGATCAACCAGACAAGACCGTCCGCATCTCCGCGCATTTGGCCACTGAGGAGGCCCGGAAGCTATTGACGCTCCTCCGAGAGTACCAAGACCTATTCGCCTGGGGACCGGAAGACATGCCCGGCGTCCCCCGAAAGGTCTCTGAGCATCATCTCTCCGTCAAAAGCAAAGCACGACCCATACAGCAACGGAGAAGACACCTATCCGTTGAGAAACAAATGGCTCTCGAAGAAGAAGTTCGGAGACTGCTCAAAGCGGGGTTCATCCGTGAAGTAAAGTATCCCACTTGGCTTTCAAACCCAGTATTCGTACGCAAGGCAGGGGGCGCCTGGAGAATGTGTATCGACTTCACCAGCCTCAATGCGGCTTGCCCTAAAGACGCCTACCCCCTCCCCCGAATTGATCAGCTGATCGATGGAACCGCCAACCACGAAGCGCTCAGCTTTCTTGACATGTTTTCAGGATACCATCAAATCAAGATGGCAGAGGACGACCAAGAGGCAACTGCCTTCATGACCCCGATGGGCAACTTCTGCTACGTGGTCATGCCCTTCGGACTCAAGAACGCAGGAGCGACCTATCAACGAATGGTGGATGCGGTCTTCAGAAATCAAATGGGAAGGAATGTGGAAGCTTATGTGGATGACGTGCTCGTCAAGAGCAAGAAAGCCAGCGACCACCTCTCCGACCTACGAGAAACCTTCGAGACCATGAGACAGATGAATCTGAGGCTCAATCCACTCAAATGCGTCTTCGGGGCCGAAGCGGGAAAATTCCTTGGCTTCATGATCACGAAGCGAGGAATAGAAGCCAACCCGAAACAGATCGAAGCTATCCGCAACCTGAAGCCGCCAAAGACAATCAAGGAAATCCAGGCCTTCAACGGCAAGATGGCCGCATTGGGAAGATTCATTCCGCGGTCTGCAGACAAGTGTTCCCCCTTCTTCCAAATGCTGAAGAAGTCAGCCTCAAGACTCCAATGGGGCGCTGAATGTGACAAAGCTTTCGCTCTACTGACAAACCAGCTCAGCTCACCTCCAATCTTAAGCGCTCCCGTAGGTGGCGAGCGGCTTTATCTCTACCTCGCGGTGTCGGAACAGGCCGTGAGCTCCGCCTTAGTACGAAGAGCGCAAGATGGCTCCGACCAGCCCGTCTACTACGTGAGCAAAGCGCTTCTCCCCGCCGAGACAAGATACATGCCGGTTGAAAAGGCGGTCCTCGCCATTGCCTCAGCAGCTAGAAAGTTGAGACCGTACTTCCAAGGACACCCCATCACGGTGTTAACCAATCTGCCTCTTAAAAGCGTCATGCGGGGCATGGACGCATCGGGAAGACTAACAAAATGGGCGGTCGAGCTCAGCGAGTATGACATCGAATATGCACCAAGACCAGCCATCAAGGGCCAAGTCCTGGCCGATTTCATCGCCGAAGGCTTCTCTATCATCTCCCCCCCCTCCGAGGAGCGCAACCAGATCTGGCACCTGCACGTTGACGGAGCAGCAGGAAAAACCGCCTCAGGGGCGGGAATAGTCATAGAGTCGCCCGACGGAGTCATCCATGAAATCTCTCTACGGTTTAAGGACATCAAGACCAACAACGCCGCAGAATACGAAGCCCTCATCAATGGACTGGCGGTGCTCACCAACATGGGCGCATCCGACGTCCATATCTACTCTGATTCCCTCCTGGTGGTCCAGCAAATACATGAGGCGTTCGAGATCAAGGACGAGGCGCTAGCCGTCCTAGCTGGCAGGGTCAAGAGCGCCCTAGCACAGTTAAGCTCCTGGAAACTCGAGCACGTTCGAAGGGAGGACAACCAGCATGCCGATGCGCTCTCCAAGCTGGCAACCGCCATGGACTTCGAGGGCGACCGCCACGTCACGGTTACCAAAGAGGGAGACCTCCCAGGAGAAGTCATGGCAATAGGGGACGCAGCCGACTGGCGGACTCCCATATTCCAGTACTTAGAACATGATGTTACCCCACAGCACCCCATTGAGCGGAAAGCACTCAAAAGAAAGGCAGTAAGATACACCATCATTGGCGGGCAACTTTGCAAGAGATCGTTCTCCGGCGCCTACCTGAAGTGTCTCGGCCCAGAAGAAGCGAAGTGGACGCTTCGGGCAATTCACGAAGGAACATGCGCGACTCATGCGGGTCCCAGGTCGCTTGAGAGGACGGTCCTCTTGCAAGGGTACTATTGGCCCACGGTCAAAAGAGATGCTTCAGACATCGTTCGGAAGTGCCATGCGTGTCAAATCCACGCCACCAAGCATCACTTGCCTAGCTCCGAGCTACAAAGCGTCGTGGGACCATGGCCGTTCGCTAGATGGGGTCTCGACCTTCTAGGGCCGTTTCCCACGGCTCCATTGGGCAGAAAATATTTGGTGGTGGCAGTGGATTACTTCACCAAATGGATAGAGGCCGAACCGCTGGAAACGATCACGAGCGCCCGGGTGCAGAAATTTGTGTTCAACAACATCATGATTCGCTTTGGCATCCCGCAGTCAATCGTCACCGACCACGGTACACAATTCGACTGCAGGCCGTTCGAAAATTTCTGTGCCAGAAACCGCATCACATGCACAATGGCCTCCGTGGCATATCCACAGACGAACGGCCAAGCTGAAGCATCCAACAAGCTGATCCTCCAAGGACTGAAAAGGCGTCTAAAGGACGCGAAAGGGGCATGGGTAGCCGAACTCCCGCATATCTTGTGGGCGCACCGCACGACTCACAAAACCGCTACGGGTGAAACCCCTTTTGCTCTGACATACGGTTCTGAAGCGGTCGCCCCCGAGGAGCTGAATCTTCCCTCCCTTCGTGTTCAAGCATATGACCCGGAGTCTAACCACCAGAAGCTCTTGGAGCAGTTAGACATGGTCGAGTCCCGCCGAGATGCAGCTCTGGAACGTATCCTCAGCGAAAAGGCAAAAGTGGCTACCTCTTTCAACAAGAAGGTGAAACCACGTCCCCTTGAGGAAGGAGATATGGTGCTCAAAAGAAAGATGAGCATGGAAAGTTGGCCGCCACCTGGGAAGGCCCGTTCCTCATCGGAGAAAAAACAGGTCCCAACACCTTCAGACTCGCCACCATGGAAGGCGACCCCGTCTCCAAAACTTGGAACGGAATGCATCTAAGGAAGTATTACTCAGAGGCGGTCTAAAGCCCCTCGTATGAATGATAGGACATTTTAGAGGTATGGGAAGTCTCCCCCCACTCGCAATCGTGTAATAGTCGCCATCTGGTGACTACTTTTGCTCACATCTAATTAGTGGTCAAGGAACACTCCTTCCACTTACAACAGTGTATTGGTCGCTATCAAGTGACCGCCCTTTCCCAAAAGTAATACACTTGCATTTTGAACAACGAATCAAGAAACAGACACCATCCAGTGACTACTTGAGCAACTCGTGCAAAGAGGTACCACACGGCCTCTAGTTACAGGTCTTCCCGCCCAACAAGCGCGACCCGTCGCCACCCGCACGAAAGTTATCATCCATGCTATCGACAAAACACAAATAGCAAGAATAACAACTTCCTTGATAAAACAGTTCGCCTTCCTTGAAGGTAGAACTCCCGAGACCGCCTCCTAACGAGGCGACCCCTAAGGGAAAAGACCGCTATACACCGGTCTGCGTGCAAGTATAAGTAACACAAACCAGAAAATGTTGTCACATAACTCCGCCCCGACGCGGTTTAGCAAAATATGTTTCCCACCAAGGAAAACAAGAATCCACCAGAGGCGGTCAAAGTAGCATGTTCACACAACGAAAAACGGAAATGCCATCCAAAAATTGTTCTGACAATTAAGAAAAGATAAGGGGAAATCAAATCCCCGGCGATCCCCCGCTAGTGGCATCACCACCCTGAGCGGTTTCTTCCTCCTCATTAGCTGCTTCCCCTTCTTCTTCTTCTTCCTCTTCTTCATCACTTGCTTCAGAGTTCACATCTGCATCGGTCCAACCGCCAACCGCATCCCAGACCAAGTTTGCGTCCCAAGCCACATCTGGAGCTTCTTGGCGGAACAGGTGGCGAATGGCGGCCACGACATCGCCAACAATCTTCTTGTACTTGGCCTTATCCAAGGCCTCGAACTCCGCCGACGTCACATAAGCCGGACCCGCCTCAGCACAAACGGCGGCCACCTCCGCTTCATGATTCTCCACCAACGCGGTCTTCTCCCGCTTAAGATCGGCCAACGCCTTGTTCAAAGACTCTTGTTCCTCCAACAGCGTCTTCTCAATCTCTTTTGATTGCTGGAGCTTTGCTAAAAGTCCATCCCTCTCTTCGAGAACCGCCTGATGCGCCACCTTCTCCGCTGCCAACTCATTTTTCTGCTTCGCCAACTTTTCCTTAAAACCGCGCTCCAACTCTGACCGCATCTCCGCCTTCAGCGTTGACCGCTCCTCATGGAGGCTCTTCTTCAACTTAGCAATCTCGACGGTGTTCTCGTCCACGGTCTTTGACAGGCGGTCATTCAGCATGATGATCTGCGAGAACCCGATCTGAGCCTGCAAAAGGCAATATCGATGTCAGTAGCCAAAACATGACCTATCTAAGGCACCGACCAAAAGATAATCAACCATACTCACTGAGAAGAAAAATTGGGAAGCAATTCCCGCCAACCGACGGTTGCATCCTTCTGAGGAGGAGGTATACTCCGAAGGCATGACCAGGCGGTCACTGACGGTATGCAGAGCCAGCTCGGCGGCCTCGGTATCAGTGGCCGCCAAAGGAGAGATTTCCACAGACTGCGTCTGATCAGACTTCTGAGCGGTGTTCCCGCGCTGAACTCCAGGTTTAGCGGGAGAAGCTCCCATCCTTCCACGCTTAGCAGCCGCAGTAGAGACAGGCGGCTCTTGCGGTCTCTTCCCAGAGGCTCTCGTCACTGGAACAGAAACAGAAGTCCCCTCGACCGCCAAGCTTGGAGCCACTGTCGGAGCGGTCGGAGGAGCGGGGCGGTCAACAGTCGTATCCAGAGAGGAAGCGGTCTCCGTCCTCGGCTTCACTACCTTCTTCTTTGCTTTCGGGCGATTGGCAGCAGCAAGATCCCGTAGCCCTGCAAAAAGAAAGCATAAGTAAAACGACATGAGAAGGAGGAACACATAAACAATCAGGAAGTTCATCACTAACCATAAAAACCACGAACGTGCTGGTACGCACTCTCCGGACCGCTGTGTCGCACCCGTAACTGAAAGCCCTCGACAATGCGGTTCACATGATCCTTCACCGATTGGGGAAACTGGGTGGACGCACACCATGCGTCCTTGCTACCAACCGCATACCCAGTCGGCGGCTCCGAATCCCCGTCATACCACTTCCAAGAGGGTCGAGCAAAAAAGAATTCCCTATACCACGGCGAATCCAACTTAGGCGTCCCTTTGATGAACCCAACGTAAGCTTCCCGTCTCCCAATCGACCAGCAATTAGACGAGTCATGAATATTGTAAATCATTCGAAAGGCATCAAAAGACGGCTCTTCCTTGAGGCGGTCGCACGCAAGCCGATACATTACCGAATGAAAAATAATGGTCGGAGAAAGCCGCCCCAATGTGCAACCAAGCAAATGTAGCGTCTTGGTCAAGATAGGGTCCAAAGGAAACCGCAAACCAAGCTTTACTTGCTCCACATGTATGGGAATCCACCCAACTGGACAAGACCCGGAAAGGCTCTCTTCTGAGGGCGCAGCGTACTGCCAATCAGAAGGGAGATTGAGCGACCTCAGACGAAAAAGCACCTGCTCGGGCTTGAAAACCGTCTTGTGCTTCTGACCAATAGCAAAGACGTCGGCAGGAACCGGTTGACCGCCCCACATACCATCATGACGGAGCACAGTATACACAGAGTCTTTCGCGGCAATAGGAAGCGGTTCCAATCCTGCGGGTTCCACTATTTCTAACGAGGACGACGTACTAAGATGCGCCTCTGAGCGCACATCCTCACTGTCGACCGCCTCGTCCTCGTCCAGTGACAAACTATCTAAATCTACCCGCCCAAAATCACCCATGTTATCCCCAACCGCGGATGAAGTGGCAATACCCCCAGCTGGTACAGGGCGGATGTTAGCAATAGAATTATCTAAATCTAAATCAACTCCGACAAGACAATCGCGCAATTCAAAACCACTCCCAATGTATAATTCTAGCTCGGATAAATCCCACACGCACTCAGAGGCGGTTCGAGTGGGGGAAGAGCGGGTCATACCTTGGGAAAAAGAGGCGGCTCCTCCAGAGGGTCCCGCCTTCTTTCTCAAAGGAGCGGAAGGCGACAAGGGAACCCTCGTAGCGGCCTGATTCTTCTCGGGGACCGCCTCGGAGGTCGCATGCAAAAGGGGGGCCTCGACGGTGGCGGCGGCGGCGTCGCTTCCAGCCGCGGCGGAGGGAGTTCGATCGTCACTTGACATCTTCAATCGTCGTCGGAACAGACACCAAACTCGCCGACCGAAGTCCGACCCAGCAAACGCCGACCAAAGGGCGCGATCGCGCGACGATCGAGAAAGAATAGCGAGGTCAGAAGAAAGACGAAGGAGAAATCGAAATGCGAAACGCAAAAGAACCAAAGAACTTACCTGAGGAAGCTTGGGTTTATAAAGCCCGACCAAGGGGAGAGCTCGAACTCTGTCGGAGAAGAGGAGAGGAAGAAGACGAGCAGATTTCCAAAAGAGGAAGCAAAAATGGCGGAAAAAGGCTCTCCCAAGGCCATTTAAATGAAAGAGGAAGGGTTCCAAAACCGAGGATGACGTTTCGCCTCCTCGCGTCAGAGCGCAACCTTCGAGGTGCAGCGCGTGGCACTCACCCCGGCACTCGAAGAGACGCGCACGCCATAAAACCGCCCCTCAGGCGATCCGACTCCACGCACGCACGACCAGGGGCAAGTAGGCGGTCACAGGCAGGGCGACCCAAACCGCTTAAATGATACTAAGACAATCAGTTAGCCGCGCGAGCCTAAAGCCTCTCACGCCTAAGGGGCAAATGTTAGGACAATCATTAAGGCACTTGGGCCTCCGAGCCCATGACCACTAAAAAGGCCCAGTAAAGCAAACAAGCCCAAATCAGAGAAACAGGAGGCGGTCTCTGGGTCGCACCTAATAAGACCGCCTAACGTACAACGGAAACAAAGCAGGACGCCCGACAGAGGATATAGTCAACACTCTGACAACAAGGTACGGATACTGAGCAGGGTACGGATCTGACCAGGCATTTATGAGAAGTCAGAGGCGGTCGAGGACCGCCCGACACAGCGTCAGACCGCCCGACATAACGTAGCTTGTCCTCACTCCTAGACCTAACTAGTATAAATACCAAACAACGGATCACATTTATGGTAACTTCCATCTACCCATTCTCTCTCTATTTCACTCTATCTACTTCTCTCACTAACTTAGGCATCGGAGGAGGTCCCAGGGCTCCCCTGAGGACCTTTGTTGCAGGACTTCGAAGGTCGCCTCTCATCCTCCCAAGACCGCACGGAGTCAGTGAGCTTCACAAACCGCCCGGTACTTTCCAGGCTTAAACAGAACTCAATAAATGCACCTTGACTTCTTGAACAACGATTAATAACACAGTTTACACCTCTTCGAACGAGGGTGTTTGATGATTTTGATGGCTGATAAAACTAAGTTAAATTACTTCTACTCTTATGGAGGTTCAGTGAGAGCTCCAAAAACTAAAAGCTACAACTATGGCTACATTGAGAAAAGATAAGTTTGACATGTGGTGTCAAATGTTTGGTTGTGGAACCTTTTCCCGTCTTCGTTTCTCCTATTTATAGCCACCGGGTGTAATTGTCTTGGTAACCGTCCTAGTAACAGCTGGCCTCTTGCTCCAAACCGCCTCGGGGTCCTGATCGCCGCCTTGGTGACTAGTTGGTAACCATCGCCTAGGGGGCCCTTATCCCGTCCTGGGGTTGGTGGGTACTTGATAGCCTCGATGCCCGGTCGGGTTGGTGTTGAGCCTTGTCGCCCTGTCATAACTGGATGGGGTTGAGGCTATCTCACCCTCGACTGCTTGATGACTTCTCGCTCCTGAAAGTGCTCTCGTTCCTTGCCTTCCAAATGTTCCAACAGAGGTAGATTGACTCGCTGTTACTGTCACTCTAGAAAATGGCCAAGTGTAACCACTTCCTAAAGCGTAGTATAGCGGGTTTGGGTTTTAATGTCAACCCGGGTCCTAGATGTGATGACTACTCAGTGAATTCGTATTATCTAGCAATGAAACTTTAGTGAAGTTCTAAACTAACAAGCAAGCAAAGCAACTAAACGGTTGTATTCAGGTTAAGAGAGGTCACCCGGATATGGTTCCCCCTAGTCTGCAGTTAAGCCGGATTGTAATTACCAAGTTCGATTTCTATGAAAGTTATACTGCGGAAGGTTCTTAATCAGTCTGAAGTCTCGACTAAAGGTCTTCAGACCCTCTCAATCTGAGTCTCTAGCTGGCGACTAACCTACACCGGAGTAAACAGATTGAGGCCCTATGAACAAAACCTCCACTACCGAATTGAATTCGGTACAGAATAGTGAATTGGCTCCTCGACAAAGTCACCAATTCACTACCTTCGATTAAGGATACTCTATCAACCTAGGCAGATATTATCATTCTAGGTTAAAGCAGAAACAACAGGAATTTGATCAGGATTCATGCCATTCAATCATTCAAATCTCAATCGAATATAATCAATATCATAGAATCAATACTTGGGTTCATACAATCAAACCTAACATACAGAACTAGGGTTCTCCATACCCAGATGAATGGGAGAACTACTCCATGGAGAGAGAAGCAAAAGCAGAATCAGACGCGGAAATCATACTGTGAAGATGGATTTCTGCTCCTGGACGTTGAATCGGCACTTCTCCAAGCTCAAGCCAAGCTCCAATGGTGTTGAAGATCGATCTAGGGCACTTGGAGGCTCTTGTTCGTCGCTTTCTCTCTCTAGGAACCGCTCTGTCTCTCAAAAACTCGAATCCCCTTCTGTTTGGCTCGGAATCCGCTTAAAAACCAGACTTTCCTGACTCGCACGGCCAGGGTGCACGGCCGTGCACATCACCATTCTGGCCGTGCACCTCAAAACGCGGCGTACCATTAAGTCGAGCTTCAGCCATCGCGCACGGCCAGGATTGCACCTTGCACGGCCGTGCGGATTTCCCTTGTACCCGTGCGTGCCCACGCACAATCCCGCACGGCCAAACTGGTCAGTTGCACGGCCGTGCGTGGCCACGCACAATCCCGTGCGTGCCCACGCACAATCCCGCACGGCCAAACTGGTCACTTGCACGGCCGTGCGGGTTGTGGGTGTGCCCGTGCGACTTCCTCAGAACCTCGCCATGCGTCCGATCCTCGTCCAATCGACCTCAAACTCGCTCCCAAGCCTCCATTCACGTACTAGGACCTGAAATATCATAAACAAGCACAACCTAGCGTGAAATCGGCCTAAAACACGAGAATCAATACCTCAAACGGAGTAAGAGCAGGGGTAAAAACATGTGTAACTAACGGTCTATCATAGATAATATGAATCAAGGAGTAATGAGGGATGGTATCTTTGAGGGAGCAGAACCAATCAAAGAAGGAGGTGCCCTGAGGAGAGATCGGGAGGGAAGGGAAGATGTTATTCCATGCTTCTCTGGCATGAGGGCAGTAGAAAAGGCAGTGGTTTATGAATCCTCTTATTTGACGTACTTGTTTGTAAAGGTGAGCAAAAGAGAAAACAAATATCAAGGTCCCGTTTCATAAGAATAAAAAAAATATATAAAGGTCCTGCTGGAGAAAAGGGCAAATACAATTTAATATCCAAACCTTTTATTTTAAACAGTATAATAGCCAAACCTTTTCGAAAACAATCTAATATCCAAATCGTCAACTTTCTGTCTGTTTGACCGTTAGTTGACACTTCAAAAAAGTTCGCAGTACGACACTTCATCAATATCCATCGATATCTTCTCTGAAAAACCACCAACATATCGTAGTTCCAAACCCGAGAAGTCCATGACTCCACCATGATGGTATAGAATATCTAAATATTCAGTCATCTGCAATGCCAAAACAAGAAACAAAGTTGTATTGTGACAATTTCCCCTAAACAAAGCTTTTTTTGAAGTATCAACTAACGGTCAAACGAACGGAAAGTTAACGATTTGGATATTAGATTGTTTTCGAAAAGATTTGGCTATTATATTGTTTAAAATGAAAGGTTTGGATATTAAATTGTATTTACCCGGAGAAAACAAAGAATAAAAAATGCTGCCAATAAATACAGAAACTCTTATCACGAAATCCGCATGAACAAAGATGTTGGTGCTTTAGGTGGCTGCCAGGAATTAAGGATTCAATGCCATCTCTTTTGACTCTGCCTTAGGGAACAAGAAACATGAATCCAACGGGAGATAGGGGTGTCAGAGTCTAAAATGGTGACGTTGCCTTCGAGTGTCGAGTCTTGATAGTTTTTGCAATTTAAAACCTATAAGAACCAGAAAATAATTGTTGAAGTGTGGATGCTCCTTGTTATAAGAATCAAACTCGATCATTGATTGAATTAGTAGAAATTTTAACTAATTTATAATAGTGGTTCGATTACATGTTTGGACGATTAGGGATGGATCAAATGCTTTTTAATGATTGGACATAAAATCAAGGGTAATGACTATTTATTAGCTAAATTTTTTTCGAATTTTTTTTATTAGCAAAACCTATCGAATACTAAGAATTAACCAAATGTTAATTTTCGGTTAGCACTTTTGTTATTAATATTGACTTGACAACATGATACTGACTTGGAAGAGACACATGAAGGTCAATATTTCAAAAATTTAGTATTTTAACTAAGAAAATAGTTACAAAATTATTAATGACAATATAAAAATGGCTTATATTTTGATGCATTATGTAAGATTTGATTAATCAATAGCATTTTAATAGGTTTGGATAAAAAAAATAGATAGGACTTTGCTACGGTGACATGCATGTCACGGTGACATGCACTTTTCGGTCGACCTCATATAGGATCAGGTCGACCTAATCAGTTGTTTCAGTGTACAAACAGTTTCATGGTGCCTACTTTAGGAGATTCATATCTTACAATTGGCTAGATGGAAATTGGAGATTAAAGGCTTGTTTTGAAGCTGAAGTGTCCCTCTACACATTAAAGTACTTGGGAGCTCAATAGAAAGTCCAGAAGACCATTTTTGAACCTGACCAAAAGGCTATGCCAAAACTGGGAAACTGCCTGAAAATGGCTAAGTCTGGC